CACACACACGCACACACATGCTTATAGAAAGCAACCAAACATTGTCTAATTCTTTCATATTTTGGACTGATTGAACTGATGTTTCTCTTTTTGCCTATCAGGGCCCTCAATATGTATGCACTAATTTTTCCACATTTGTTTGCACAACCTGCAGTGGAATACAGTAAGTAATGAGGAATTTTACTCAAGTGTCTTTCATGTTTATGTCAAATATCCTCCCTCCAGAGGGTTTTAAAATTGTTGAAGTTTTGTCAACGCCTTGATACAAATGTAAATACTTGCAGCCGAGAGTTCACTCATAGGGTGAAGTCAGTATCTATGGCTAAATTTACGTCACAAGAAGTTAGTGCCCTTCAAGGAGGGGGAAATGCGGTACACATGCAACTCTCTTTTCCCCGATGGGGATTTGCTTGTTGTCTTCTTCCAGTTTTGTCAACACAAAATCTCATGTCAAACACAATTTTCTTTGCATAGAGTGCCAGAGAAATTTATTTAAAGGAATGGGATCCTCAGCGCAATTCTCTCCCTGATGGCAGGTTAATTCTCTGATATTTTTAGCTTACTCATACAAAATGCTGTTCTTATTATTTTAGCACCATCTCCTTTAATTTTCAAAATAAATGCTTGTCTGATTTATATTTTGGCTGACAGTAACATAGAAAGACTGCGCGATTTTATAAAACATGTCTATGTGGATAGAAGATATACTGGTGGGAGGAGCTTTGAAAAGCCCCCAAGGGCAAAGATGGTATCTATGCTACCCCTTTCCATAAATTTTCATTCTTTGTGATCACTTTTCAAAACTTTTTGATCGTGTCTTTGCTTCTCAAAATACATTCGTATCTTCAGGGTGAAACTGAGGACTATAATGAAAATAGGAGGATAGATACATATCAGGGTGGATCTCGAAATCCACCTTATGAGGATACTTCTGAGCATCATTACAGTGATAGGCGAATTTCTGGTGGAAGAAGTCCAGGCTATGACCTAGAGAATCAGCAGCGTGGTGATTACAAAAAGAGTCCTGCTCAAGCTGAAGTTGTTAATGACTGGCGACGTGAGGATAGATTTGGAAATGGAAGAAAATCTGAAGACAGAAGTTCTGATGGAGGCTCTAGGCTTGACATTAGGTCACCTGATCATCAAAGAGATCTGGACACACCCAGCCCTCCTGTGGTCCTTCCTATTAGGGAGATTTTGGGAGAGAATGTATCACCACTTCGGGTAGCTGAACCTTCAAATGCCACTGGTGGCAGGACAGCTGATGCTTCCATCCATACTCAGGTCACATTCTCCCTCCATGAGACTTCATTGTTACACTCGTTTCTTTATCCTAAATTTCTTATCTTGGTAGCTCACCTTAATCTGCATTAATCTATGAATTTATGGTATACCATTTGCCCTAAAAAGTCAATTATGGTTTGTTTCTGTTATGCAATGTCATATTCTCTACAGCAAAGGTGTGAACTAGCTCTTGAGTTCATATACATGATGAAAGAAGCAGATCCTCTTAATTATATGCTGAATCATTCTTGTTTGTTGATTATATGTGTGCGCATGATTTACATACTTCATTTGCATTACCTTTGTCCGGATGAATGCTTGCCATCTAGCCTGATGATCTTGCATATAATTGCGATGTATCTAATGCTTGAACTTTATTTTATCTTTGCCTTTTTTCTGCTTCTTCCTATCATAGAATTGATTGGCATATTATTTCTTTTGCAGAGAATTGCATCCTCTAGTAGCTTGGCATCCTCAAACGAGAATCCAGCTGAATTCAAAATGGAAACATCATTAATTGATTTTGATTCTGCTCCTGCACCTCCAGTAACTGCAGCTATGCCGCAAACACAGCAATCGGCTACAGATAAATCTGCCGTGCAGCCAAAACCTAGTGGGGACAACTGGGCAAATTTTGATTCCGCGCCAGATGTGAAAGTAGCTCAAGCAGCTTCACACACCAATTCGGTGCTAGATGTTCTTTCAGAGTTGTCGATTCCTGCATCCGCTTCTGGTCCCTCTGCCAGAAGTCATGGTAATGATATGCTCAATGCTCTTACGGGCACCGTACCAGCTTTCCCATCCGGTAGTTCACAAACGACATCTTTTGGGTCAGCCTATGGAGGTACTGCATATCCTGGTGCAGCAATCAGCAACTCGGCCATTGTCTCCCCTGCAGGTGCTCCTGCTGCATCTTTTAGGCCAGCACCGATATTACCGACTGGTGGAGGTAACTCATTTGAAAATGCTTTCACTGGAGGGAAGTGGCCTGTCATACAACCTCAACAACCTTCAGTGTTCCCTGGGGTTGCTGGCCTGCCTAATTCTCAGTCAGTCACCATTGGTGGACCTCCAAGCAATCAGGTATTCGCTATTCTGTTGCATTTCTTCTGCTTAATATTTGATTTTCATACATCGATTACATAACCTCTCCTCTGGACCTCTGAAGCCATGGAATTCCCTAGTTGCTGCAAATGCCCACCAGCCTCCTGGTGTTGATCCTCAAATGTCTCAACCTGTTACAACTCAGGCCATGCAAGCCTCTATTGGAGTTGCAACACAATCATTTTCAGAAGTGAAAGCTAGTGGAAGAACAGAACTGCCTGCTGATTTATTTACAGCAAATTATTATTCTTTTGCACCTCCAGTTCCAGGACGGCATTCTGGTCCCTTTCATGGCGCTGGGTTTTCAGTGCAACGCAACATGCCAATGGTATCTTGATTCTTGTTAACCATCATGTTCTAAATTGTCTTTTTTCATTTTTTATAAATTCCATATCATTTATTTTTTCATTTTTGGCTTGTTGACTGCATTCTGCATCGTTTATATAATGCAAGTATTTCTGTTTGCAGTCTACAACTACTTTCCAGCAGGTACCGAGATCTACAAATCCTTTTGACGTCCGAAATGAACCTTCTCCTGTTCAAACTGCAGTGGTATGTTATATTTCTCATTAGATTTTTATATTGGTTTTTTATGTATCTTTCAATCGATCACTCAAGTTTTACATAAATCATCCTATTAAGATTTCTTAAATTAGAGATTCGACGATGGACATAACTTTGTTGTCATTTGAAATGCACAAGAAGTTCCTTTTCTAAATAATATTTCTCATGGTAACCAATAGAATAGGACATCATTCATAATTACTCGTTATGACTCCGATTATATGCTTACAACTTCAGTGTAATTCATAACTAATGCTGAACATGCATTATTACAATAACCACTCAAAATCTCTCAATTTTCATTTGTAAAGCAAACTAATGGTTTTATGAGCCACTTTTCGTAGTTCATACCTTTTGAATTCGAGGCTATCCAAGGCATGATTAGAACCAACAATGTCAAAGGATGGCAGTCGCATAGTTCGATTAGCATTGACATTTATTTTTCATATTATAGTGAATTGCTTTCTGTTAACAATGCTCAAAATTTTTGCTCATTACTAAATGCACATGAAGCATGTATCTTGTCTAACAATAATGCAGCATTGATGCATCTGCCGAGCAAGCATAATGACTGCAGTCTGGTTTTATATATGTACTCAAAATAAATTAGTTTCCTTGTATTGTAGTTTCCTTCAATGGCATCCTTACAAGGCGCATTACCCAATGTTGCACCTATATCAGACCTGGGTACTTCGCACCTTCAAACATCCATTCCTACTCAGACACCATCTTATGCGTCAGCTATCCATCCAAGTATATTATTTCTCTCTTTTTATTCGTTCTAGTCGCTTAATTGTTATCTTTACATGTTTTAACATGTGCCTTGTATTAATTCAGGTTCATATCTGGGGCAACAAGTTGCTGGCAACATGCCAATAAGGTAACCTAGTATTCATCCCATCTTTTCTTTCTATAGCTCTTATTATACTAAATTTCAAGTGTTACTTTACAATCCATCAAGAGTTCTGTTGTGTTATTTGCCATTTTTCCCCCGAATAACTGATCTGCTGTTGTGCTCTTTCTCTTTTAAACAACCTGTATAAGTTATTTATATTTGAGCTGTTACATTAATTTGTTATATTTCCTATTTGTTTATCCCTTTACAGGCCACAAGGATTACCGGGCTTTGGTCTTGAGGGGCCTGCTTTTGTATACCCAAATCACCACGCGACTGGATTACATCCAGCACCTGCTTCTTCAAATAACTTCTCTTCTGCTACGGGAAACCCATTTGGCTAAGATGGATACGGAATGTCTTTAGCATGACTTCATCTTGATGCTTCCTTTCAGACATTGGATGGAAACATTGTAATCTGGTAAAGATTCATTTTTCCTTGGCGGTGAAGTGGTGAGGCGAGAAGCAGCTACAGTTACATATCTTAAAGAGTGCCTAATGGTTTATTGGAACTCGCACCACCAAAATAGTTTGTGTAGTCTACATCTATAGCATGTTAATGCGTATTATGCCGGTTGCTGTCATAAAATTTGTATGATTTGTTTTGCTGATCTTGTCACTGTAGTAAGCGCTTTGAGACAATTCATCCTGTAGAATAGCAACCTTTTTGTAATGTTATTGCATGGAATTGGATGTTATTCCTAAATAAAAAGATGCGCAAGGTTTGGGTATTTTCTTTTCTTTATTTTTATTTATTATTATTATTATTTTTTTGGGTGACACTATCTGTAAGGTGTAGACCAAGCAAATACTGGCGATTTTTTTATGTTCACTTTCCCTTTTTGGAAGAACCGTAGCAAGTCAAAGAAAACTTATCTCAAGAGGTACTATGGTCTTACATTACGAGAATGATGCTTATCAATTTTGTTATGTTCATGACTCATCTATGTGATTTGGAAGTTTGATTTATTGAGAAAGCCTAGATAATTTTGGCTTGGAAGTCAAGATTGATAAGGGGTAAAATTTCATCATGGATTGAGAGTTTGACTGAGAAAATGACTTTGGAAAGGATAATGAAGTGTTTTGAAGGTATTGGATCCCAAACGGGATGCTTAGACGCCAGCAACAAAAGGGAGGAATAGGGCTGGGCGTTATAGTTGCGCCTAGACGATGCCTGTTTGTGAAGAATTGGTTTTTTGTAGTGATTCTTGTGTTCTACTTTATTCATAACGTCAAGATTTGATTCCTATATATATTTCACGTGGTGTAAGCTCTTCATAAGCTTAAGATAACTGTTGACCCCAGTAAATGTTGCCAACAGATACCGGACCCACTTGCGCACACGTAAGTGAAAGTCCAACACGCAAGACACGTGGACGGTCTAAAACGGATAGATCAAGGGTGTGGGAGTAGCTCAACGGTGCGGGACGAGAATGTTCGGATTCCAGCTGGATGATCGTAGACCGATTGTACAATAATTACCAATCGATGTTTGCAAATGTGTATGTAAATATGTGTGAATTCGTATTGTGTTGCAAGATAATAAGAAAGAGATAGTAAAATGTGGTTTCTTGTATTGATTCTTGCATTAGCCTTTGTATGGGGTACATGGGGGGGTATTTATAGTGTCACAAGTTAGATCGTGACCTTTGGCTCGGGGTACACGTGGCCTCATCCGGTTAATTTACATGTCAAATTGTAGGCATCAGCCATACCTAGCTTGCTATACATTTATTGATTGGCAGAACAGCCTTTACTAGTGACAAGACTTAACATTTACACTTATGGCAAACGTCCTATCAATCATTCTAGTAAGATCTTTGTGCAGAGGATCTCTTCGAGGAAGCGTCTATAGAAGATGCTGCTTTGTGATTTGGAGACTGCTACCTCGGCTACAGAGCTTCGGCCAACAGGGCCTCGTCCACATTCAAAGGGCCTCAAGATATAGGCTTCGGAAGCTCCTCAAGAGGCAATGAAAGATGGGCCTCGGCTATGCAAATCACCTCGACTTGAGTGCTACGTGGTTCAGCATGAGTTTGCTGTGGGCCCTGGTGGGTTGCCCAAGTGTGCAAACACGTAACAATAGTCTCTCAAATCCAAGTATAGTCATTTATGTGATGCGAGGACTTTGATGAAGTAAAGCCAGCCAGTTAAGTTGAAAGAAATTTTTGAAATTTTTTGTACCCCAAATAATAGTCCCCCAAGTCCAAGTATAGATATTTATATCATGGTTGGAGTTAGAGATGTGCTGTTGTCGAGGAGTGATGAGAATGATGAAGCCAAGGTGGTTGAGAAACCGAAACTATGATGCTTGATGGATGAATGATGAAGAGAGAAGTCGGGGTGGTTGGGAAACCGAACCTACGATGCTTGATGGCTGAATGATGAGGAGGAAGCCGAGGTGGTTGGGAAACTGAACCTGCGAGGCTTGATGGCTGAATGATGAAGAGGAAGCCGAGGTGGTTTGGAAACTGAACCTCCGAGGCTTGATGGCTGAAATTTGAGGAAGCCGAGGTGGTTGGGTAACCGAATCGGTGAGGCTTGATAGCTGAAGTTTGAGGCACATTGACAATAATTGTTCCTTGACAGTTGTGCCAATGATTTGATGTTTTGCGTATATTTTCGAGGAAAGGTGGCTGAACCATTACAACTTCCAAGGCGCCTGCTTCCGTTGAATTAAAGTCGTAATCATGATAACGGCTGGAGCTTCTAGAAGCAGACGCCCTAGGGGAGGTGCGTGGGAGAGACGCTTAAATCTAAGGCGTAGGTTTGAAAACCGTTTGAATTCTACACCTCGGATTTGATTTAGAATGAAGGTCTAGATTGGATGGATTTTGATAAGATGGTTGGGGTTCATCCTAGCCCTTTATAAAAGGTGAGAGATCCCCATTTTTCTGGATTTTCTACCTTTGCAATCTTAATTTTCTTCCAAAGCTTAAGTTTTTTGGTGTTGAAGCTGTTTGTTCCCTGGTTTTTTGGCACCATTCCTTTGGCGTAGTTATTCTCGTAGGTATTTTCACAGAAAATCCCTTGTATTGTGTTCTTAGTCATTTTCTGAAATAGAGTCCACCTCGGGTAGGGAGTTGGTTACTGTCGCGTCATTTGGTCAGGGGGCTAGTTACAGGGGGGCTCCAAAGTTGAGCAGTATGCTATGACCTAGGAGGCAGTAGACTACAGTGTAGAGTGGGAGGCGTTTAGAGTCCTTTCGAATATGACATTGAAGAGGCTGGGGGAGATCAGGGAGAGGTACTGTTTACCTCATTACATAGAGATGTTAGTACCCGATGCCCATGAGCGAGCCTGCTATTCAAGGCCTGGGTGCGTGGCGGTGAGTGAGCACCTGTTTAAGGCAGGTATGCGTCTTCCTCTACACCACTTCTTCAGGACAGTACTGAGGAACTTCATGTTGTCGTCGACCCAGGTTCTGCCAAATGGGTGGAGCCAGTTGGTTAGCTCGAACTTCCTATGGAAGGAAGTGTCACTCGGGGAGGACATGCCTCTCCACGTCTTCATAACCCTATTCTAGCCTAGGGTAATAGGTAAGGAGTCAAGGGGGTGGTATTACTTAACTCCTTGGGGGGCTCATGCACCATTTGTGGTGGGCCTTCCTTCTTCCACTAAGAGGTGGAAGGAGTCGTGGTTCTGGGTGAGGGGCAGGTGGCAAGCGGTGGAGGGGGACACAGCACTGGCTTGCACAATACCGACCCAATACTACGAAGCTCGTGAGTCTCCCAGCCTAAGTTTGCATTCTGTATTCAAATTTCTATAGATCTAACTGTTGAGGCTTCCTTTGCAGATCGCAGTACGAGGTTTGAGTTGAGCAAGGAGGAGTTTGAAGTGATAGATGACATTTACAAGAGGCCTCTCAAGCTTCGCCACTTCGACCAACTCATCGACCGAAGTCGCTACTTCTTTGATTTCGAACTGATGGCCTCCACGGGCAAGAAGCTCCTATTCTTTGTGTATTTCTTTCTTTTGGTTTTGATACTGATGCATTGACATGTTCTGCAGACAAGTTCAAGAGGAAGGAATACCCAGCCCCTGACATGGCCTCTATACTTAGGGTCACATCCACTTTGAATGAGAGGCCCCTGAAGCCGGGGTCCAATGGTGCCAAAGAGGTTCGGGGCAAGGTTGAGCGCCTCTCTAAGGACGGCAGCTCAAGGGCTCCCTAAGAGGGGACACCTCAGAGGCCCGAGAAGGCCAAAGAGCCTCGAGGAAAGGAGAAGGTCCTCGAGAAGCAGAAGAAGAGGAAGCTGGTGCACGTCACCAGCTCGTCAGGAAAGTTCGGGACCTCTGTGTCCCATGAAGGCAAATAAGCCACTTAGCCGAAGCTCCTTGCGGCCGCCTCGAAAGCAGTAAAGATTGAAATGGTTCGACGAGCCGAGGTTGGGAAGGCTAAGGAGGAGGGCAGCTGAGGCGGCAGAGGAGGAAGCTGCCAAGCAGAGGCCTGCAAGGGTGCAAGGGAAGTCTTCGAGCTTCCTTGCCGGAAGGGAGGAGGTTCTGGCTCCAGCATTGGTGGAGGCTCTGCCACCTGAGATCCAAAGTGCTACAAAAAGCTTCTACAAATTCTGGACGGATCGATGGCAGTTGCATGCCTCCTCATGTGACGCCATGGACTTAACAAGGGTCCTTGTGAGCCAAAGTGTGAGGACCTTTGGCCTCGCACTGGAGTGCAGGGAGGCCCTTACTGACTTTCAAACGAGGACCCAGTCCTCAGAGAAGAAGATGGCCTCCCTTGCAGAGGAGCTGAAGGGAGCTAGAGTCGACGCAGAGGAAGCGAGGGCCCAAAAATTTGAAGATGCGGCCAAGCTAGAGTCTATCTTGGCTCAGATCGAGGCGTTGAAGAATGAGGTGTATGAGTCCCAGTGCGAGGTGACCTCCTTGACTAAGAAAGTGGAGGTTTTCAATGACCACCAGAAGGTGACCGTCGAAGCCTTGGAGAAGGCAAACTTGGAGCTAGCCGGGGCCCAAGATTCGTACAAATTCTTGGAGGGCCAGATGAAGTGGTATGTTGATGAAGCGGCCAAAGTGGCGAGGGAGGAGGCGGTGAAAGACTACATTGCCAACTTCCACAATATCGAGGAGTACAAGAGCTTCAGCACCTACTGGAGAAATTATGCTTATGTCGAGATGATGGAGAGAGCTGAGGAACTTTACCCAAATCAAGACTTGTCACAATCGAGGTTAGAGTTTGTGGATGAAGTGCCTCAAACCCTAGCCAATGAAGCGGTTGGGGATGAAGTAGCAGAGGCAGAAGAAGAAAGTTCTGATGTTCAGGCTGCGAAGGCCCCGGCTGCCGAGGCGCCTCCATCATCGTCCTAGGCTTAGGATAGTTTTCTTTTCAGTTAAGATGTACTGGCCTCAGGCCCTCCTTTTGTAATCTTAATTGAAAATCGATATAATATCTTCTTTCATTTAATGTTGTTTTTCTCTTAAGTGCATTGACCTCATCAATTGAACTTAATGTTGGTTGAAGAACTAAATAACTTTAACTTGGTATCCTAACTCCGATCACTTGAGCAAGTAAATTGTATGCAAGCCTCACGAGCCATGACCAATATTGGACTTAGGCAAATGAATTGTACTTAAGCTTAATAACTGTAACCTGAATGGATCCTGACTGGACCGTGTTTCAGCCGACTGGGAATATTGCTGTCTAACTCGAAAGGTAGTTGCGTGAAGCTAGTGGTGGTTGAACCTTGTAGGCAAGTGTATGCACCTCGGAGTT